GGGCAGGTATCAAGCAAGCCTGCATTGCAGTTGGCGTGAACAGGCGGTCTGAAACCCCCACCGCCACCACTGCCGCGACCTGAGCTGATGCAAACTCCGTGACTCACAGATCAAATGGTTTCTCGGGTGCCTTTTGTATTATTTTTAAAGAGGACATGTGCTCCAAAGCTTTCACCTTTCCTTTCCTGGCTGGTTTGGGGAATTTCACTTAGCTTTCCCGGCAAAATCACGTCGACAGCAGCCAGAGGAAAGCAGCACAAAACATGTCTAAAAACAATGCAGAGGCATTTATTCGGCTTCACGTTGGATCCACCTCGATCCATCTTCCATTCATGTTTTCATTTTTATTGAATGAATAGAGTGGTTCCTCTCAAAATCCCTTAATTTTGATGCATTTCTCTCAAGAATTTTTTTTTGGGGGGGGGGAATGGGAAGATTTCATTTGTTTTATTTTAGCAAAGGCTGCAGTAGGACCCTCTGTATTCACAGGGGAATTATTCCAAGCCGTCCCACGGATATGAAAAAACTCGGATTACCGCGAACGCTACTTTAATTGCAAACACTATAAATAGCAAGGTCTCTGTTTCCCTCCAGTGGCCAGTTCTGGTAGCTTTATCTTTAGAAATATACTGTATACTTGTAGGATTTTTCTTTTAATGTTTTGGATATTTTCAGATCGTGGATAAGTGAATCAGCAGGATCCTGAGCCCACGAATAAAGTGTCCCTATTGTAATGAACAGTGGAAGACAGGAGGGCCTGGCGTGCTCTGGTCCATGGGGTCACGAAGAGTTGGACACACCTTAATGACAAAACAACAAATTGTAATGAACAAACACCACAAGCTTTCCAAAGCAAGAACCTTGGCTAGAATCCTGTCTCATTATTTGCACATACAACTGCAAACACAGAAGCCTCTGTGGCAAGACAGTGAATGTTCTGGTCACCTGACTACCTGGATTATAACTGCATCCAGATGGGGAGCCCAATGAAAAACATGTTTGCTACAGTGCATCATTGGCTGCAAATCAGAAATAGAACTCGCTACCTCCTACCTTTCCATGTTTTAAAGCTTAAGTTCTTTCCATCACCAATGTGTGATTTGACGTTTCGGTAAATGACGTGACATGAATTTTTCACCCACCTACACTGGCTAGGAAGGCCCAGTGGCTTTGCGAATATCTGCTGGATGCTGGAACACACCGAAGAGTTACAGAAGAAGACCAGTCTGTGCTTTATAGATAACAGCAAAGCCTTGACTGTGTGTGGATCACTGGAATCGTTGTCTGTTGTTTTTAATTTATTTGAATACTGCTTTTATCTATGAGCTTTATTTATTTATTTATTTCATTTATATCCCGCCTATCTGGTCGGGTCAGGACCACTCTAGGCGGCTAACAATCATAAAAATACATCGAAAATATATAAACAGTTTAAATAATAAAAGCAATACACAGAGTGAAAAACAATAAAATGAGTAAAAAAGAAGAGGAAAGGCGTCAGGAATTATTTGATGGGAAGGCCTGCCGAAACATCCATGTCTTTAATTGTTTCTTAAAGATACCCAGTGAGGGAGCCCTGCGAATCTCTGGAGGTAGATTGTTCCAGAGGCGAGGAGCCACCACCGAGAAGGCCCGATTTCTTGTCTTTTCCTTCCGGGCCTCCTTCGGCGTTAGGCTCCTCAGCCTCACCTCCTGGCTCGCACGAGTGATACGGGTAGACCTTGGTGGGAGTAGGCGTTCCGCCAGGTATCGAGGCCCTAAACCGTTTAGGGCTTTGTACGTGAGCATCAACACTTTGAAGTTGATGCGGAATCGGATGGGCAGCCAATGCAAAGCGGCCAGAGTGGGGGAAATATGCTGGTATTTTTTTCACTCCATTGAGTAATCTGGCCGCCGCATTCTGCACCACCTGAAGTTTCCACAGCAGCCTCAAAGGTAGCCCCACGTAGAGCACATTGCAGTGGTCTAATCTTGAGTATACAATGATATACTTTCATTGGCTTATATTAGACCACTTGACTCTACTGGGCTGAATCTAGAGTAGGCCCATTGAAATCCATGAGGTTTACCAGTTCATTTCAGTGTCTAGTTGGGACGAAAATTTAATTAGGTCCATTATAATTTTGATATTTAGTTTTTTAAGCCTGTGTGCATTACATTAATAACAGATATACCTGGAAATAGTCAGGTCTTCTTCTGCATATAAAATGGGATTCTGGGGAATGTGCTTATTAGACAGAATTCTGGGTAAATGCCATCTTGTTGTCTCTTTTTGTTCTCAGCCAATTGTTAATTTCTTTGTACAAACTATATTACTTACAATAAAAGTTTACATCCTCCCCTCATTCCTGCCAGCAGCAAGACATGGAAATCTGTCCCGCTGAAAAATTACAGCTTCAAAAATGTTCCTGTTGAATTTTAGAGCACAAAATAATCGATTGATTTCATTTTTGAAGCATCTTGCTTGCTGTTTGGTAAGTTCTTCCATAAAGGCAGACTTCCTTGTGCCCCAGTGTCTTCAACATTGACCATGTAAAGTGGCATGTCAGACTGAGACACAGCCTGGAGATGAATCATTATAATTTATGTGCAGAAGCATGACTAGTACAACCCATAACTTCTGGAAATTAAATTGTTATCCATCCTATTATTAGTGCTGTCAAGTCACTTTCAACTTACTGTAATGAATTCAACAGCATTTTCAAGTTTATGAGATTGTTTAAGAGTAGTTTACCATTGCCACACCCCAGTGAGCTTCTGTGACTGAATGGCCATTTGAACCCTGGTCTCCAGAGTCCTGGTCCAACACCACATTGCCTCCCTTTATTCATCCTACAATGTACACATTTGTTTAATATAAACATGCAGGAGTTAGTTATTAACATTTTGACTTTTATTTACATTTTACATTCAAGAATGGTATTCTTGATTTTTGCAAACATTCTTTGTAAGTGCCTTTGACTTTGTAAATGTCTTTGACTAATTCAAGAAATGTTTTACATTGTTTCTGTGAAATAGGCACTGTTACTCAAAGGAGCTTAAAGAAATGGAATCCAGATTCCAGACTGGGCTTGAAAAATCTTCAAATGAGAGACTATGTTGAGGTGGTGACCACTATTATTTTACTTAGGGATAACTGTTTGTTACAATGTAGTTTTAGAAGAGGTAGCCATTTTAGTCTGTGCTAGCATATCAGGCAAACACAAAATAAAAAAAAAGATAAAGACAACATTATGGCACGTGTGTCTGAGGAAGTGGACTTGTCCACGAAAGCTCACATTAAAATACAGCACTTTATCTTTAAGGTGCCACAATGTTTTTGTCTTCTGTATTTTTCTTTTGTTTTTGCCTGATATGTTAGTTATAACTTTACTGCACCCAGTTACTGCTCCTTCCCATTATGCTGCGTTAAGTCTTTAAGGTAAATGAGACACACTAAACATTATAGATGGGTATTTTTATATAAAATCTTGATCCATGTTCCTGTAAAATTCTGACTGATGAACTGCATCTATATGTCTGACGCTGTACCTTGAAAAGCTTACTCAGGTTTCTCAATAGTATTAACCACAGTCTTTCACAGATTTTGATCCAATCACTCATTCCTCCAGTAAGATTTTCTTCTACATGAATCATTTTGAATATTTTATTAAGTGCATATTGTAAATAATTAATCTGCAGTGGCTCTTCAGAGCAGTTGAGAAGATTTACCAACTTCCTTATTTGTGGGACCTAAATAGTGACATATATGGAAGTTAAAATGAAGGAACTGCAATGATGAAGAAGTTGTCCCCAAAGAGTTCAGAGGTGTGTATTTATTTCTATGCATTCTGACCCACTAGCACATTCTGATCCATCCCAGAATTATTAAAAAGAATATATTATATAATCATGCAAAAATATGTAACATTAAAGCCTGTTTCCATGAAGAGAGTATTGTGTTAAAGAAAATGTTCTGCAAAGCTTTGAATATAATGAATATAAATAATCATTATTACTTTTTTCCAAAACATTCACTATGTTTATTTACTCATACAACAATCTCTAAAACATCTTCAAAAAATTTGACCAAGGACTTTGACACAGAAGACTTTATGTATGTGATGAGTTTGCACAATTTTAGGAATAGTCTGATAAACCCAACTGACATTTACACTCATTTTTCAGTCATTCAAATTATGCAGTTAAAATGCCAATGATGGCAGCAGTCTAAGAGAACAACAACAGTGATAATAAAGGGTTGTCAAATTGGTTCTTACTTACGGTGGCTTTTCTAGGGTTATACAATACTCCAAGCAGTTTACCATTTCCTTCTGGGACCATGTAACATGCCCATGGCTACACAGGCTAGCTTTTCTCCCAGGAGACACAGTTCGGAATCAAACTCTCTGACTCTGCGGTCAATACCCAAATATCTTGCCAGCAATGTAACTTTCACATTATAGCTTCAGCTGTTCAAGTAGTTTATCAGGGATAATCTAGATATCATCTTTGAATGGCCTTGTTGAGTAGGTCAGAATAATTATATTCCATATTGAAGATAGCAAGGGAAGGCTTATTTAGTGTTTATTTGCTTGTAAAAACAAAGAATTAGGTTGATAAATATCATGATACTAACACTAACTTTGTGTTCTGTAACAATTAGTTTAATATGGGGGAGGAACTAGAATTTCTCTATTTGTGGTAAAAAAAAGTTCAAGAGTAAAAAAAATAGAAAGGATCCTCACCTGGTATGCCCTAATAAGAGATTGGACTGCAAGATGATCTTCCACCAGTTTATCTACATTTGGCTGTGCTTGAACCAGAGACTGTGTCAATGTTGACAGGCTGGTACTTAAAGGAGGGGGACTTTGGTAAGCAGTACCTGGAGCAGCTCCAGCGTTGGCATTACGAAAGAATATGTCCCATGACTAAAGAAAACAAAAATAATTCAGTTTACAAGCAACCACTTCTTCCAATGTCTTAATATACCCTTTGTGATAAACCCAGCCTCACATCTCTTCTCAATACAAATTCAAATACCTAACAGCTTAGTAAAAATAAATATATCAGATATGGTTATAGATCTCCCATACAGACCTTCAAATTCCCATACAATGAAAATGGATGAAATAAGGATCAAGGAAACTTCATTTATAAACCTTGGCACCAAGGTTTTTGGTGCCTGCATGATCACTCCATTTTTTGCTTCTAACACACAAAACCAAAACCAAAAAGGTAAAAGTAATGTTTGCTCATTCTAACCTTGAAAAAGATAAGTAACCACAAACAAAATACTAATCATATTATGTACACCAGTGGTCCCCAACCTTTTCAGAACTGTTGGGGGGCGGGGTCTGTGCACAGGGGAGTGAGTGGTGCATGCTCATGGATAGGCATGGTGCGCTTCCGTGGATGGGCATGGCGACTTGCGGGTGAGTGGGGCATGCCCACACCACACCCATCCACAAATGCGTGTGAGCATGCCACGCCCACCGTGCATGGCATGCCCCACTCCCTGCGGGGGGGTGGGTGCAGAAGATCTGTCTCTGTGGCCTGGTCCTGCAAAGCCCACGGACCGACATCAGAACATGGACTGGGGGTTGGGGACCCCTGATGTACACAGAAGGCAGGAGGAGAAAACAAGGAGATGTTTTCCGTTCAGTAACTCAGTACTTCACCTTGTCTTGACTGCTGAAGGTAAGGAAATGGTGAGTGAGCCTCACATAGAGTTTATGTGACTACTAAGAAAATCTTCTCTCTTTTCTAAGAGGCCAATTTAGCTATTAACTGTAGTAGCGGCTAATGTTATAGTTAAATTGTCAAACATGAGTCACAAGACGCAGTTGTATGGCTACACAGGAAAGCTATATAACCAAAAGCTATACAACATTTTGAAAGCTGTACAACATTGATTCACAGGGCACTTTTAAATTACACAGAAGTTGTCAGGCCAGCCTATCCATGTTGTTTGGGCTGCAAATTGTACTGGGAATCCAGCTTGCTGAATTATCTATCACAGGTAACCAGTACCTTTAAATGTGGAAAATAGAGGCCACGGTTAGGTGCTCTTTAAGACATTACCCAGTGCTTCTCATTTCAGTGATCTGAAAATCCAAAAGAACCTATTCACTTCTCCACTCAAGTGCCTCAGCAAAATCAGTAAATTTCATATCCACCTCTTAAAAATAGCAAATGCTAAGCAAATAAAGAAATACTTTGAAAATAGTCAGCTATACAGTACCTACCTTTCAAGTTATTTCAAGGACAATAAATAAGATTTGCAACACCTGTTGATAACACAAGTGAGCAACTGTAAGAAATTGCTATGCATCCTGAGCCTAAACATTTTTCAAAAATTTAAATCAATTTGATACTGTTTCTTTTCAGTTTGCCTAAACCAGCTTAAGAAAATATAGTCTTTAACCAACCGCATCCTATTTTCTCCATGCAAGCTCTTTTTCAGAAGCCATTGCAGCAATGCAGAAAGTGCTTTCTGTGACATGAATGCATATGGCTTGGAACTGCACATGAATGATGCAACTACCTTTAATTTTTCTTTTCTCTCTCAGCCTAAACCCTGTGATTTATTTAGTACACCTGCATCGTGCTTTTTTCCTAAGGTCCTTAAGATAGGGTAAACTCCTTTCCTATTCCCTACTTTATCCTTACAACAACCCATGACGTAGGTCAGATGGAGAGAGAGAGAGTGCCTCAAGTACTCTTAATAGTAAACATAGGAGAACAGTAATTTTCACCCAGCCCATTTTGAAGACATGAGGTATTTGAACAGCAGCATATGAGCAGCTCTAGAAAAAAGCACATTCTTCCCCAGCAAGTGTTTCTTGTAAATGCACGTTTTTAATACTGTTAGCAGTATCAATCCAAGTCACATGCCACTAAAGCTATTTTCAGCATCTTCTATTTCTGTCAAGTGTAAGCCATATGACTACATGAGACTTTTAGGATAAGATCAAGACACGCATCAACATATGTCTTGATTGCAACAAATGACCACATAATTTGACAGACAGACAGAAACCTTTATTGGCATACTGTACAAAATTCAAACCCACTAAGGTGCAAATAAAACATTCAGCAGCTAACATGTGGCAGGGAACAGCCAAATAACATCATTAGGGCTTTGCATAATTTGTTCTGGGAACCGGAAAGAGGTTCAGCTGGGTTTCCTGAAGAGGAGCTTTGCATATACAGTATTGCTGTCCTAGACAGCAAATCTCTTTCTGAAATGGTGGTGAATTCCACATACAGTTTTTGATATGGTGTACTCACCTGGTAGTCAAAGAGGTAACATTCATCTGAACCAATTATTTGGACCCTGTCCAAAGGCAATATTTTTAAAAAAGCAAGCACATGGTTTGATTTCAAGAGGGTCATCTTAGTTCTTTATCATGTATTGGGAGAATAAGGAACAAAAATGATTTGTCGGCCTCAAAATAAAACCCTTATCCTTGTTTTGATGCATATTTCTTTGCTAATGGCCATGAATGTGGAAAGAACTTATGAGAAAGATTAAGGACAAGCATTACATGACACCCCACAATTTACTCCAAGGCTCTATATCATTATCTCCGTAATACATTTTTCTTTTTCAGTATAAAAGGTAACATCCATACAATACTGTAACATGAAAACCATACTTATGCTTGCACTCCTGTATGACAGGCTAATATTTAAAATAGTCCTATGGAGAGAATTTCTGAAACAAGCATAATGTCTAAATCAAATATTATGTCATAGGAAACAATGTCCAGGTATTACAATGTCAAATGGAATACAAGTCAGTTGTGTTTATCTGACAGCATTATTGGTATAAGCTGAGCTGAAAAATTAAAATAAGGCCATGGGCAGACAATACTACTGAAACAGAGAAAGTAAACAAGATAAGGTAGACATCAAGGAAAGGCATCTACTTCAATCACTGAAGAGTAAGACAGACAAATATAGTTTTGTCTTCACCTACCCAGATTTTTCAAGTTTGAGGTGAAGCTCACTTGTTAGAAAAGTAAAGAACAGATTGAGATATAGCCTCTTTCTACATGAGCCTACTCTGCTGCTGTTAAAATACTGATGTGCAGTTCTTCACTGCTGCACATGGATCAGATATGACAAATGTGAAGATATGAAATCATATTCTGTTATTAAATGTTGATTATCTAGTCCATATAAACAATATATAACACAATAGATAATACAAGCTAGTAGATGACTTAATAGGTTACTCAACATAACTGTGGTTCTTTGAGTGGTGATCCATATATTCACGCAAGTGGGTTGTGCGCCTGCATGAACACCATTTTGAAAGAGCCAGAGCTTCTTAGAAACAAAGTCCCTCTGCTTCTACCACACAAACACAGTGAGAACAAGAGGGGAGGGGGTGGGATGTGTGAATACATGGATCACCACTTCAAGAACCATAGTAATAGTGAGTAACCTACCCTTCTTTGTCATTGTGTCTATACAGTATATGCATACAAGTGGGTGACTAGCAAGCTGAGAATTTGGAGGTGAGGTTAAGCCAAAACAGAAGATAAAAAGGCCTTTCCAAAGAAAGCATCGCACTGTGATCAAGCCTATAGTGGATAACAAATGTTAGTGTTCTAGACCATATAGCTGCGCAGCAAATTTCTTCGATCCCTTTGCCCCTCATAAAGGCAACAGAAAAGGAGACCTTTCTGGTGGAATGGCTACGTAGAGCTCTAGGCAAGGCTTTATTTGCTATGGCATAAACTAGGGAGATAGCCTGGATTACCCATTTGGAAAAACACTGTGAAGTGACTGGGTCTCCCTTTTTGGGATCCAGGTAGCTGACAAATAGTTCATTCATTTGACTAGTCTTTTGTCCTATCAATGTAGAAGGCCAGGGCTTTTCTGACATCCAAAGAGTGCAAGGAGCATTCTGTGGTGAAGGGTAGAAATTTGGCAGTATGAGAGGCTGACACATGTGGAAGCATGAAACAACTCTGGGGAGAAAAGTTATGTCCACGTGAACAGTAACATTGTCTTTGGAGAAAACAAGATAAAGAGAGTCAGAGCGGAGTGGAGTAAGTTCTCCAGTGTGTCAAGCAGATGTAAGAGTGACCAAAAGTGCAGTCTTAAATGTCAGCAAGCAGATGTGTGTCGTTGACAGAAGTTCAGTTAATACAAATGGCAGAGAGCAGAGTTTGCGTGGAAGGCAATATCTGGGTAGGTGAAGACCTTTCAAAAAAAATTTGACAGTCTGATGTGTAAAGAAATGCGAGGATGGGTGTCCCTGAGGTTGATGTGTGACTATAGCTGCTAAGTAGACCTTTAGAGGAGGAACTGAGGGACCTTGCTGCTTGAGGTGTACCAAGAACATTAAGCCTGTGAACAGAGAGGTTGGGGATTCCCATAGGTTGTGTGAATGTTTCCATTTATAATAATAAAGGTGGATGGTTGCATGGCTTTTTTGAGGGTGTCCATAATCAGTGGAATATTCTCCAAGTGATCAGCTTCAATATATTCACAAAGGCTTTCACGGCTGGGATCTAAGGGTTGTTCTGGGTTTTTCGGGCTCTTTGGCCGTGTTCTGAAGGTTGTTCTTCCTGACGTTTCGCCAGTCTCTGTGGTCGGCATCTTCAGAGGACAGCAACTTGTACTCTGGTCAGGCTATAGGTTGCTGTCCTCTGAAGATGCCGGCCACAGAGACTGGCGAAACGTCAGGAAGAACAACCTTCAGAACACGGCCAAAGAGCCCGAAAAACCCAGAACAACCATTGATCAGCTTCATTTGGTGGAGACTGAGGTGGAGAATTGACCCTTGGTGACAGGGGACGGGGTCATGAAGAAGGGGAAGTCTGACTCATTCTGCTGCCAGGGGTCATGAACCACTATTGATGTGGCGATCAGCAGGACCCTGGATTTGTTGAAGGTTATCTTGACAAGTGTG